GCAGTGAGGACACTGAGGTACAGTGAGGGCACTGAGGTGCAGTGAGGACACTGAGGTGCAGTGAGGACACTGAGCTGCAGTGAGGACACTGAGCTACGGTGAGGGCACTGAGCTGCAGTGAGGACACTGAGCTGCGGTGAGGACACTGAGCTGCAGTGAGGACACTGAGGTGCAGTGAGGACACTGAGCTGCGGTGAGGACACTGAGCTGCAGTGAGCACACTGAGCTGCAGTGAGGACACTGAGCTGCGGTGAGGACACTGAGCTGCGGTGAGGACACTGAGCTGCGGTGAGGACACTGAGGTGCAGTGAGGACACTGACCTGCAGTGAGGATACTGAGCTGCAATGAAGGGAGGGCACTGAGCTGCGGTGAGGACACTGAGCTGCGGTGAGGACACTGAGGTGCGGTGAGGACACTGACCTGCAGTGAGGATACTGAGCTGCAATGAAGGGAGGACACTGAGGTGCAGTGAGGGAGGACACTGAGCTGCAGTGAGGGGAGGACACTGAGGTACAGTGGGGGGGTCCCAGGTCGGCGGCCTGAGTGACCCCCCTAAACTGACCCAGTGTGCCTGCCCGCAGGTGCTCATGCGTCTGGGCCGCCAGCGCTGGAAGCTGAAGGGCCGGATCGAGTCGGATGACAGCCAGACCTGGGATGAGGAGGAGAAGGCCTTCGTACCCATGGTGCACGAGAGCCTGGACATCAAGGTGGGGCGAGGCCTGGGCCAGAGCCTGGGGGTTAGGGGCAGGCAGGGCAGGTGGGCGGGGCCAGGCACCCCTGCCCGCTCAGAGTCCACCCTCACCTCCACCCCCAGGTGACAGAGCAGCGGGGCCTGAGCTCCCTGGCGGTGGGCGCCGTGTCCTGTGACACGGCCGACTTCTTCACGACCCAGCCGCAGGTCATTGTGGTGGACATCACTGAGCTGGGCACCGTCAAGCTGCAGCTGGAGGTGTTGTGGAAGTGAGTGGATCCCGCCCCCTTTTGCTCCACCCCCGAGCCTGTGCAGAGGGTTCTGGCCTTGCAGGACCCAGGCTGGCCGTCGCCCGGAGCCCCTGCAGCGTGTGGGACAGCGGGCGGCCTGTGCTGTCCAGCCCCTGGCTGGCCCTGCCGGCCACCAGAGCCCGCGCAGGCGCCCCAGGTCCCCCACTACAGCCAGGTCTTGTGAGCTTTGTAGTCCTAGGCCGGCCGCGACCTTGGGGAGGGTGTCACTGGGCTCCAGCTCCTGTGTGAGGCCGCCGGGCACCAGGTCAGCCAAGCCCCCAGCATTGGTGGTGGATGTGTTACAGCTCAGGGTCGGAGCTGGGTGCGAATTCCGTTCTATCCATTCCCATTCCTTGTCCTGGAGCTGTTCCTCCCACTCCCAGCAGAGTGGAAAGAAAACTTCATGTGAAGAATTCAGCCAGGGCCAGGCACCGGTCATCCTGCTGCTCAGGAGGCTGAGATCTGAGGATCACGGTTCAAAGCCGGGCCAGGCGCCGGTCATCCCCGCTGCTCAGGAGGCTGAGATCTGAGGATCACGGCTCAAAGCCAGCCCTGGCAGGAAAGTCCGTGAGACTCTTATCTCCCATCAACCACTAGAACACTGTTAGTGGTGCTGTGGCTCAAGTGGTGGAGCGCCAGCCTTGAGCTGAAGAGCACAGGGACAGCGCCCAGGCCCAGAGTTCAAGCCCCATGACTAACAACAACAAAAAAGAATTCAGCAGAGCCCTTTGCTTCCGAGTGTTTTGGACACAGCTGGGATCCACAAAACCCCTGGCCCCACCTGTGCCCTGCAGTCCCCGTGGCTCCCGGGTCCTGGGGACCAAGGGCCTGTTGTCTCGTTTGCAGCCCCTTCAGTTCAGAGGGCATCCTGGTGTCGCCCAGCTCCATGGGCAAGTATTCTCTGGGCAGCAGGAAGGGCTCGGCGTACAGCTGGACGCCCCCAAGCACCCCCAGCTTCCGGGAAAGATACTACCTGGTGAGCCCCTGGGGACAGGGACACGATGGTCCCAGGGGGGCAGGAGGCGGGGTCAGCCTCCCTTGGGGTCCCCTGGGGAGCTTCTGGTGCAGTTTCCCCTCCCCAGTTCAAGCCCTTGGGGTTCAGGGCACAGGTGGCATGGGAGCTGGAGGGAGGACAGGTAGAGGGGCGGGGCCCAGGGGACGCCGCCACCCTCGTGGGCTGCGGCGAGCAGGGCGGGGCTCTCCGGGCCCGGGTGGCTGGTGAGGTGCCCGGGTCCCACACCCCTTTTTCTACAGCCACCTGCGCTGCTGGGCACGCCCCGGACCACCTCCGTCTTCGGCCCCCTGTCCAACGGTGGCCTCCGGGGCCCGGGCCTGCGCAGCCAGAGCCAGGAGCCCCTGGAGATGGACTCCTTCAGCTCCGAGGACCCCCGAGAGGAGGCCCCCACGTCGGCGTCCACCTTGGACGTGGGCTTCCTGCCCTCGGGCATCAGCCCTGCCCCCTCCGTGGAGGAGGCCGGGACCGCCCCCCTGCCCCTGGGCCTGCTGCCCGAGCTGGCTGGCCC